TTGCTCTGTCTTTTGACATAGCTGCCACAGCATCTTCATGAATAGCAAATTCAACATCTGCTTCTCCATTCACTCTGCCATCAGGTCCAGCTTCGATGTATACCTGAATAGGGTTGAGTGCTGAGAAAAAATTGTAAATATCATTTTCAGTAGCTCTGTAAGGTTATCCTCTCACGTGCGAATAATGGTCTGTTGTACTCTGGAAATGGACCCACCATCTCTATAGTTATGATCAGACATTCCTGAAAAACAGTAATTGAGGTCTCTTCCAAATCTATCCAACCCAAAGCCATATCCATCATTGTATCCATTGTAGCCATCATAGCCTCCATATACTCCACTGTAGGTACCTCGCCTCATTCTTTCAAACCCAGATCCTCTTCCAATGCTGTTATAGCCTCTTTCAGCCCCAAGCCTGTCATAAGGACCTGGCCACTGCATAGCCATTAGCTTTCGAAGAGTACGAAATACATAATGAATACCAACTTCTGCCCAACTGCTCTTGAAGAGTTCAATGTACCTGTGCCCATTCTTTCCTTGTGTTTCTTTAGAGCCTTTTCAGCTATTTTCTGGGAAGCAAACTGCAGGAAGGCCTCCCCTGTACTCTTCCCCTGGAGACCACCAGCAATGTTATTCCATTTGCCATGATTTCCAACCCTGAAAAAAACTGAACAATTTCTTCCTTGCTATAGCCAAATAAAAGAGTCCTCTAAGGCACACAAAGTCATCATTGGCAGTGTCAGGACTATTTGGACCAGTATGCTTAACATCCAATCCATTTCAATATTGTTTGACTTAAATACTTCAACAAATCTGTGTCCCATAGTTTCTCTGTCTTTTTTAAGTGCGAATTTGACTTCATTTTCTGATTCAAGTTCAACAAATGCTTCTCCACTTTGTCTGCCTTCTCAGGTATAGATGAAACGAATGTCTGATGCCCCATTTTGAATTTTGCATTCCGAGAAGAAGCGTTGGACTTCATCAGTTGAGCAGGACCAGGACAAGGCCTGGACCTTCACCATGAAACCTTCTCTGCCTTTAGTGCTCAGCATCATCTTGTTCAGTCAGTGGTGGTAGCTCAATACTTGACTTCAGGGCGGCTATGAAGAAATTGTTTCATTCTTTTTAATTTGCTCTGAGAAAAGTATTAAAGAATTGCCTAGCTTGTTAATAGTGCCTTTTTTCTTTCTTTCTTTTTTTTCTTTTTTCTTTTTAGGCAATTGGAGTTAAGTGACTTGCCCAGGGTCACACAGCTAGTAAGTGTCTGAAGCAATAGTGCCTTTTCTTGGTCATTTATTATTTGTTTTGGTAGGGCATCTGACAGATTGCTGCCTTGCAGCTCATCCTTTTCCCAGGGTATTAGTGAACATCTGGAGGGCAAGAAGATGTCGTTCAATTCTCTATTCTTAAGGTGTCTGGCATAGGACCCTGCAAGCAGGATGTGTCCAATTTTGTTAAATGAACAAATAAAATGCAGCTAGCACAATACAGCATTTACAAATAACCAAGGGCTTTTACTGCACAGATACATAAAGCTATACTATGTGCATAAATGTTCTCATGCTTAAAATGAAAGAGTTGAAGGATATCATCTCTAAGGTCCCTCCCAGCACCAAAATAACTTAATTATCATAGAAGATGAACATATACTAGCAAGAAAATCTGGAAGAAGCAGAATGTAACTATCTATCACTCAGACCTCAGGCTCTTTGCCACCCCTGTCTAGGAACAGAATCTCAGACACCACGACAAACCAGAAATTATGCTCAGGTATGCATCATATCTCACCATCTAGAGAAAAAGCATAGGAACTGAAACCAAATGTGGTTTCAGTTATACCCTTGAGTTACGCTCAATGATTGGGTTTTTCTTGATCCAAATGACTAGTTCCACCTTCCCAGTAGCTCCATCCTTTTGTACTTAGTGTTTGAAAGAAAATGGACTGATATGGTTTACCATAATCATAGGATCTTTGAGGGTTGAAGTCCTAGTCAAATGGCATTTATTTTTTAAAATTTCATTTTTATTTTAGTTCCAAATTCTCTCCTCTCACCTATTAAGATGACAAGAAATGATACCCATTACACATATTAAATCATGCAAAATATTTTTCCAATTAGTCATACTCCTTCCCTCCCTCCCTCCCCTCTCCCCCAAAAGCAAGAAAAATAAAAGGAAAAATATGTTTTGATCTACATTCTGAGTCCATCAGTTCTCTATCTGGAGGTGGATAGCATTTTTTCTCATGAGTCCTTTGGAATTGTGGTGGATCATTGTCTTGATTAGAGTTACTCTTTCATAATTGATTATCTTTACAATATTGCTGTTACTGTGTATATTGTTCTTCTGGTTCTGCTTGTTTCATTTTGCATCAGGTCATATAAGTCTCCCCAGGTTTTTCTGAAATCATCTCCGTAATTTATTACAGTATAATAGTATTCTATCACAATTACATACTAATTTGTTCAGCCATTCCCCAAATGATGGGCATTCCCTCAATTTTCAATTCTTTACCACCACAAAAAGAGTTGGTAAAAATATTTTTGTACATATGGGTCCATTTCCTTTTTCTCTGATCTACTTGGGACATAAACCCAGTAATAGTACTGCTGGGTTAAAGGTTATGCACAGTTGTATAGCCCTTTGGGCATAGTTCCAAATTTTTCTCCAGAATGGTTGGACTAGTTCATAGCCCTACCAATAACGCATTAGTATACCTATTTTCCTACTTCCTTCCAGCATTTATCATTTTCTTTTTTCTATGATCTTACCTAATCAGATAGGTACGAGCCTATCCCATCTCTAATCCCTGTGATTCAGATTTATCATCATACAAGGCAAAACCCCCTTTACCCTACTGTTACTCTTGTGTTTCTCATTACCATCTGTCTCTGGCCTGACCCTCTCTGGTCCTAATACTGCTTTTATTTCTCCTTCTTAGAGAAATGATTATTTCTTTCTTGTATTAATAACTAATTATTGAACCAGGAACAAGGTTTTCTCCTTTTTCTACTTCCTCATTCAGAAATCAACCAGTGTGGAAAATCTTTGTGAAAGATTTACCCAAGCTAAAGATCTAATCAAAGACAGTAAAAAAAAATCTAAGTTTAGGACAATGGGTGGATTCTGGTTCATTGTGTTTACTCAGACAGCTTCGGGGAAAATGTTGATTCTCCCTTTTGTGAGACAAGTAATATGTAAATTGTAAGCCAAGCCCCAAAACCCATTTGTATGGGATTCTGTCATCGTTGGGAGGGAGAGAGAGAGAGAGAGAGAGAGAGAGAGAGAGAGAGAGAGAGAGAGAAGGAAAGAAAGAAAGAAAGAAAGAAAAGAAAGATCCAGCTTTTCCAGTCTTCTTCAAGCTCTCGTCAACTGGACTGAACCTACCTCTAACCTGTGGATGTCTGGAGAATAAAGAGCAGGCTAGGAGAATCAGGAATCAAACAGAAGTTTAATTTCAAAGTGAGGGAAAGGATTTACAAGGAAGAAGGCAGATTAGATTCGAGCTGGGGCCCCACCTCTTGTGGTAGTTTGCCGAGATCTCAATACTTGTAGCTTCATGCCCAGAACATAAGTACTTGTCCAAGCTTGTCCAGTGCTTGTCTGAGCTCAGAGAACACCAGGTGCTGCTCAAAGCAATACAACAATTATGTGATTTTGCCGGAAGGTGAGCAGAAAGGACTGTTCTTATGCCAAGTTGGGGCACAGCTTGCTTGCTGGGCTTTAGGTCTGGAAAACAGGGTGTTTCCTAATATTTTGACATTCTTTAGTCCGTTTGAGTACTTCTGGCTTCCAGTGTCAAGAAAGAAGGCACAAGAGATTCCAACCTCTCTTCAGAGTCATAAGGACTCTGAGAAGAAGCCAATATATAAAACTCGGATCATATTTTTTTACTTTACCTATTGGGGAACGTCTCTTATTCTTTTATATTTGAATAAGTTTCTTACGTATGTGGAAAATTTTTTTTCTATATCTAATTATATATTTTTTATATCTAATTATCTCTTCTCTGTTTTATTGGTTTTATTTGTGAAAAGGCATTTCAATTTTATGAAATCAAAATTGTCCATTTTATCTTCTGTGGTACTCTCCATTTCTTGTTTGATCATGAACTCTTCTTCCCTTATCCAGAGCTGCGAAATGTACAATGTTTCATCCTCCTATAATGCGTTCATAGCTAAGTCACATATCTACTTGGAGTTTATCTTGGTATGTGGTGTGAGGTGCTGGTTTATACCTAATTTCTGCCAGACAGCTTTCAAGCTTTCTCAGCAGTTTTATTATATTCATTTGCTTCTGAATGTTGCATACCTAATCTGCTCCACTTATTCATCTATCTTTTTTAACCTGTACCAAGTCATTTTGATGACTACTATGTTATAGTATAGTTTGAGATCTGGTACTAAGAGGTACTCTTACCATTTTTAAAAATTATTATGTAATATTTTACTCAGCTATTGCCCAATCTATGAGTGCTCACTTTACTTCCAGTTCCTTGCTACTACACACAAAATATGTTGCCTGTAATATGTGGGAATATCCTAGTCCATAACCTTTTTTACACACCTCAAACTATAGATCAATTGTACACCACCAAAACAAACTAAAATTAAGTGCAATTAATTCAATTTTAACATTTGTAATTATTTGGTAATCCGAGAAATATTTACATTACTATGTTTTTAAAATAAAAATTATTTTCAGGCTGAAAAAAAAAGCTCTTCTAGTCAGTTAGTAGTATCAGGCTATAAAATCATGGTAAAGATGACAGGGGGAGGCAGGAAGTCAAAAGTCTTAAGCCCCTACTTCTGTACCTTTCAGCAAGAAAAGCCAGAGTCTTTTAAGCCCAGGCCCACCTTGCTCAAAGGCAAGAAAAGGTTAAAAGGTAGAGCCGGAAAGACCCTCTGCTTACACACTGCGCATGCGCCGCCCCGCCCACCTCCTTGTCCTTTCCTTTCCTTTCTCCTGTCCTGGGATAGCATTCCTAAAGCTACGCAGTGGTCATGGGAAGTGGGTGGGCGGAGTCACGTCTCAGCCAATCGCTTCCCCCCGGAAGTAGGTGGGGAAGTGCAGGTAGTGCCTGCTAGTCGGGTTGCCCTGGAGGCTGTTCTCGGCTTTGTAGCCGACCCAAGATGACGGCACAGACACACAGCGGGATTCGGCTGAGCGCGGTAAGCTATTGCGGTAGCGTGTGGGAGGCGAGGGCAGAGGCGGGGGCTAGCGGGCACTCGCCCCTCCACCTTGGCTGGGGGCCTGTCCGGAGCCTTGGGGAAAGCTTTCGCCAGGGAGGGTCGGAGGCTGGCGGTTAGATGGGGGACGCGGGTCCCGGGGAGGTGAACGGACGGACGCCTGCGTCTCCCGGGAGTGCCTTACCTGGGCGCCCCGCCGCAGGAAAGCAGAGCGGCCAAGTTTGTGCGCTGGGATCTCGGCCTCCGGCCCCGAGGGGGCGGGGCGCTGCGCTGCGCCGCCCGAGTTTCGATTTCCCTTCCTCGGGGTGTTGGTCGCCCGGGCTTGGGGAGGGCGGGTCACGGGCGCCTCCGCTCGCTTTGCACCTGGGGGGGCGGGGCAAGGCGAGGTGTGATGCGTAGGCAGGTGCATCTGGACCTTCTTTCTGTCTGGAGACCCCTGCAGGAGAGGGCCTTTGAGGCAACAAATATTCACCAATCGCCCTTAGTAAGAGGCGATTTGAAATATGTAAGAGTATGAGTTTGGGGAAGTGGAAGCGGAGAAGGGTAGGCCTTGGCTTGTTTAGGGTTTCCTAATTCTAATTCGTATGTTCCATTTTTTTTTTTTAATTCCCTTATTTGTGGACAGTGGAGAAGGTTCCCTCCCACCTAGGCAGAATAAGCGCACTGGTCCAACAGTGTTATCTCCCTTGTGCATCTGTCTTGAGAAGAGGGAGTAAGTTAACTGGTGTTTATCAAGTTACTTGAAACTGAGATGTGGAGCAAAGCAGGCTATAAATTGATCTGTGTTTTGGTATAGAAAGCTAGGGAATGAGGCGCTGCATGTAGGATACCTAAATCTCAAGTCTTCTCTAGCCAAATTATTCCCAAGACTATTTTAGGTTTCGCAAGATGCCTTTTTCAAGTGAATTATTTTCACTGTCCCACCAAAATAAGTTCATCACCAACCCCCAATTCTGCAAAGTCTAGTGGTTTTCTATGACCTCCAGGATCAAATAAAAAATCCTCTCTTTTAAAGCCCTCATCCTGCTTTTTCAGTGTTTTTACACCTTACTTCCTCCCTTCCCCTTCCTCTCCCCAGTACTCTTCGGTCTTGTGATACTGGTCTCTTCTATTTCATGAACACAGTACTCCATATCATGATTCCAGGCAGTTTCAGTGTCCATCTCACATGCCTGAAACTCTTCCTTCTCTTTTCCACCTACTGACTTCTTTCAAATAGCCAAAATTCTAACTTCAGCAAGAAGCTTTTGCTGGTCCTCCATAATGCTGGTGCCTTCTCACTGAGGTTAATATCAATCTATCCGGATATATCTTGTTTGTTTCTAGTTGCCATCCTAGAGGTCAGGGACTGATTTATTTTTAGCCTTTCTTTGTAACCTCTGGGCAATGACCCTGACACTGACACAGTAGGTGCTTGATAAATGCTTGTTCGTGTGGGGTTGCTGTGAAGATCAATGAGATAAAAGTATTCAAAGCACTTTGTAAACCTATTATGGGGGCAGAAGAGAATAAGCATTTATTAAGTTCCTACTATGTGTGCCCAGTACTTTGTAAGTATTATCTTATTTGATACTAACAACCCCCAGAGGTAGGTGATGGGGGTGCTTGGGTGCCCATGCTTGGACCCTAATTTCTCCCTATCCTCAGAAACACTATCCCTGGCAGTCCCCTCTCCTCCCCTCCCCCAAGGACACAGTGCCTAGCAATTTCTCATGAGTGGGTCCCAGCAAGACCCTTATCTCTCTCCTTGGTGCAGTTACAAATGACACCTGAAGGAATTATTAGTTTGAACTGGCTTTGCACTAGGTCATAAAGATATTGGTACTCACAGGACTATCTGTACCACTGCCCTACCTCATTATCTGCATCCTGGACTCCTCATTATATGTATTCTAGACCTAAGATATATGTATACACCCTACATCTATCTATCTTGTCATACAAGACATTGATTGGTGGCAGACTGGGCAACTCTCAGTCAGCCCTGACCGCTAGTTATCTTAGTGATGTAGCAAGTCTAAAACTCACACCTCTATGTGGGCTCCCCCCCCTCCAAAAAAAAGTACATGTTCCTTAAGTACTGACCACTCCTTAACCACTCTTAATCCTGCCCTGAATCACCTAGTTAGAATATTTGGCACATGTTTCACTATATTTTATCCTATATAAACTTTAACTGTACCCCTCTCAGGTCATAGGTTCCTTAAGAATTTGCCCGCTGTGTGGCATAACAATAAACTTTTGCCAACTTGACTTAGATTGCTTGAGTCTGCAAATTCATTCCAGACGACCCTGCCTTGTACTTGTTCTTTGAAGAGAACTTCTCAACCTCTCTGACCCCAACTGTAGGTGCTATTATTACCATCCTTGTTTTACCGTGAGGAAACTGAGGCAGACAGGTTAAATTGGCTTGCCCACGGTCACACTGATACTGGATTTGTACTCAGGTCATCTTGACTGCCATAAAATGTGCACATAAAACAAAAATCACGTTTTTCCTTCCTTCTTACAAGACCTACTTAACTTTTTCTTTTTTAAATTTTGAAGTGTGTCCTAAATGTTGTTCTCTGTTAGAAGCCCTGGCATTTTCACTTGATTTTAAAGTGAGTTTACAGTTCATAGACCCTTCAAGATATTTCCCATGGAATAGTAAAACTATAGTTAATCAAACTTTTTTAAAAAAGGGTTATGCATTATTTATTGACTAATAAACATAATTTATTATGGCATAAAATAGATCTACTCAAAGGCTGTGATGTTAGGTGCTTTGATATTATTTGAAGTAGTTGTAGATAAAAAGAAGTAATTCTGTGTTGTAGTCTAGAGTTCTGCTCACCTTCAGAGTGATTTGTTAAAGGTGCTACCTCAGATCCACAGGGCCCGTTTTACAGTGTCCCTGGCTCAAACCAATACACATCCATGTGTCAGTGCCTCCTCTCTTTAAAGCAGATGGCAGTTCACTAGCTTAAAGTATTCTTAAAGTCTTATTGATAGTGTAATTAATCAGCCACCCTTAAAGTAGGACCTGTCACAGATTTAAACATTCAGGAGACCCTCCTTGGGAGGAATCATGTATGTATAGGCTATTCTCTGAGGGAAACAGTATGGCACAATGGAGAAGTATGCTGGATTTGGATCCTTTGGACTGGAGTTTGAATCCCTGCTCTGCTATTTACTACACTTCCTGTATTTTGTAATCTTGGACAATTCATTTAACTTCTGTGTTCTTCGGTTTCGTTTCGTTTTTTGCAAAATAAGAGGGTTGGACTCTGACTCATCAGATTCCTTCCTGCTTTAAATCTGTAACCCTAGGGGATATTCTCTCCTTTTGAATAAACCTTCCATTGAATCCATTACATAGCACTTTTAAGTTTGTAAAGTGCTTTATGTCACATGAGCTGTACAACAAACCTGTGTAACAGGTGATAGAAATATTATTTTCATTTTGCACATAGACTTAAGAGAGGCCAGATGACTTAGCCAGAGTGATGTAATCAGTGTCATAAGTAGTGTTTGAATCCAGATCCTTCCTGCCTACAAGCTGAACACTGTTAATATTGTCTCACATTTCTGTACTAGTTTACATTTTGTTTTTAAATGTTTTAACATTTTCTTCTTATGAATCATTTAATAAGCAAAGAACAGAAAAGATACTGGTATGAGAAATTGTGAAATTCTGTTATGTAGATCTAGTCTTTTTTCCCATAAAGTATAAAATTTAACTTGAATGTAACAAAATTGCCTTGTGTTCTTTTCTGAACTATTGCATTCTTCTAGGTTGTATTTTTAAGGTTTTCTTGATGTTCTTCTCCTTACCCTTCCCAATCATTCATTACCATCCTTTACATTTTATTTAATGTTTTACATATATTATTTTATTTGGTCCTAAGAATAATTCTCTGAAATAGATATAGCCAGTGACATTTTTTGAGAATGGTACTGACATGGTGTCTTTGGCATTAAGATATTTTTGGCCACAGTCTTGGAGGATGTATTAGAAAAGGGTTGTAGTTGTTTGTCCTTCATTCTTGAAGAGGACCATGACATCAGGGAGATGATGCCATAACATGCAAGTGAATTGGATTTAAGTGAGGGAGGGCTGTGCAAAGTCATCAGGCTCACTTTCTTCTCTGGAGCCATCTGGCTTCAGTTACCAGATACACATCAGGACAACTGGAGACGGCCCCAGGTGAGGTAAAAGACCATGACCTTTTAAAGCTAAGGTCTTTAGCAGGTCTCAGTTTGACTGAGGAAACACCCATTGAGTGATTTAAGGCTAATTTAAAAAAAAATAGGCCTCTTTAACCTAGTCCAGGGGAGAAAAAATTGAACTGGGAGGGGAAGACCTTAGATATTGAATTTGAACTTTTAAATTTAAATCTCACAATTTGTTGTTCTGCAAAATATTCTCATCATGGAAAGAAGATTGGCACATAGAAACAAAGCATTCTTTCCAGTATTTGTGTGGAAAATTTTTCCTCTTTTACATATGGTTTATTGTGACTATTTGCTTTTGTCATTATGTTACACTTAGAGGTCACATTATTCAACAACGAAAAAAATCCACATCACTGAACAAATGTCATGTCATTCCACAAGCAAGGGAATAATGAAGCTACCCCAGAAAAAAAGGAAGCAAGTATATGGGCATTACAGCCCAGCTCTGTACCAAAGCCTGTGTGTCATGTAACCCACCTACTTTTAAAGACCTTAGATCTTAACTCACTGGCAGTGGTTTCCTCTGTCAAATGCTGTGCTTCCAGAAGTACCTCCAAACCCTTCTCCTACTGTGAACTTCAGTTTGAGTCTGGCATGTGGTCAGTATTGTTTTCTAACCATTCAGCTACTTTCCTTACAGAGCCACTAGGTGGGTAGAGAATTCAGATTGAGATTGAAGGAGAAGCCTCCCCTTTTACACTGCAAGTCCAAAATTCTATCTATTGAGAAACTCAAAAGTAACTCCCGTTTTGTTTGGTTCTCCC